AGGTAGCTGCATGGCGTTCGCAGACCTTGACCCTCCTTCATTATCTTTACTTATATTTCAGTTTTACTCTTTAGACATTGTATTAGACAATCTTCCGTTATAGATGCTCATGTACTCGGTGACACCCCGATTTTGGGAGAGATTTGTATTGAGTTGCGAACATATTTTTGTTTTAAAAGGTTTTCCTTAAATATTAACTACTTCCATATATTTTTCAAAGCTTTTATTGTGTTGAGATGGTTGAGTAGTTGGCTTGCCTAGTTCCACGATAGGCGCCATCACGACAGTTTGATTTTGGGTCATGATAAGTATAGGAGTTAAAATAGCACGTGCTAGCCAATTTTCGGATTGGTCATTCAAAAATAGCCAGCGTTTGCCAAGTCATGGAAAAATAGCCACTATTTTGCCGCAATAGAGACCGGTCCAGCATAATATACTGGAGTTTGGTGCACATGTGCATAAACTTTTAGCATATTATGCTGGACCGGTATACTTTGATGGCTCCAGTATAATATACAGGAGTTCCAGTATATTATGCTGGAGTATTTTCCGGATTTTGAACAGTATATTCGTTCAGATTTATCTTTACATGAAAAGTGATTAAATTTCGATAACTTTTGAAACTATGGCTATTTTTGAATGAACACTTGTAAATCGGGCTATTTTTGAATTTCTCCCAGTATAGGAAGGTATAAATCCCTATATATTTGGATAAGCCCAATAGTCCTAGTCCTATTTGGATAAGCCCAACAAGCGTATTCCTATTTGGATAAGCCCAATAAGCCAAGTCCTATTTGGATTAGTTTCACTCCATCGCTCTGTCTCTCCACATCCATTTCCCTCCCCCGCAGTGTGAAAATGGCGGTGTTATGCAATGCCATCTCTGCGTGTTCTATTACGCATACTCTGAGAGTAACATCATCTAAAGTTGCAGTGTGTTCGAGCTCTCGAGTCTCAGTTCCTCAGCTTCATCTTTCCGATTCTCCCTTTGTCCCCGAGGTAGAATGTAACACCCCAAATGCTCCCTTGATTTCTCCGAGAAGAAAATAGTAATTAAATTTAACGTTTGACATTGTTAGACTCTGATAAATAAATGAAACATGATTACTTTTGGTTTTTCTGCGGATATGTAGGTTAACAAGGCAGTTGATTCTTTGTCAAAAGAGTTCAGAGAAGTTGACAATTTAGTGGCTCGCAATACTGCCCGAGTTTTGAGAGCTTTCCAAAGGGTCAGGGTTGGGTCTCATGTAAGTTCTTATTTTCTAAAATTTCCTAAATTGTACTCCCTCCGTCCCATTTTATATGATCTTTTGATTTGGAAGTAATTTTTATGAAACTTATGGTATAAAAATAAGTCATAGATATTTGTGTGGCTATACATTATCTTAAAATAAATGAGAAGTTTAACAAAAAAAAAAAGAAAGTGCATCACATAAATTGACAGAATGAATAGCTCGTAAACACCATTTACACATGAATAAACATCGCCTCTATTTTCAAAAGTGTGCTGAACTACATTATATTATTTACACTGCCCAGATGTCTAGAACTTGAGTTCATGTGGAATGCATTTCTATATTCTAAGTGCTCAGTGGAACACAGTTCTTTTACTGAACACAGGTGAAGAAGAGAGAACATGGTCTCCACTAGTGAAATAACATTTAGTTGGTCTAAATGTCATAGTGGCAATAAGTAGGCACTCTATTTTGTCAGTACTAAAAATGTACCTGCATCAGCACTTTGGTGGTAGCACGGGCTATGGTCATGAAGAAGCTGGTGGACGTGAAGCTTTGGACGAGGCTTTTGCAGAAATTTTTGGTGCTGAGTCTGCAATTGTTCGAGCACAGGTTCACAACTTTTTCTTCTTCTTTTTTTCCTCCTTTCATTTCCATGAAAAGGATGTGTTTTCTTAATATACTTTCCCACTTCACCTTCAGTTCTTCTCAGGTACTCATGCTATCACTTGTGCATTATTCGCTTTCTTAAGACCAGGGGATGAGGTACACTTATTTTATTCTTATTATCACCACAATGTTCTGTTTCATGAATTATTGTAGTCCAGAATACTGGTTAATGTTTCAAATGTTGTCAAGTCTTTTTATGAAAATAACTTGAAATCAACTTGCTTCAGCTGTTGGCGGTGGCTGGTGCACCTTATGATACTTTGGAGGAAGTTATTGGAAAAAGGGATTCTGGTGGATTGGGTTCCTTAAAAGACTTTGGAGTAGAATACCGGGAAGTCCCCGTGAGTTGCATTTATATGTTCGATATTAGCTCCACATGGTTTAACTTTTCCGAATTTAAGAATTTCCAACTTTGTTTGGACGTTTCGCAGCTTGCAGAGGATGGCGGGCTTGACTGGGATGCACTTAAAACATCTTTAAGACCTCATACGAAGTGTGCACTCATACAGAGATCATGTGGCTATTCCTGGCGTCGCAGTTTGAGTGTAACTGAGATAGGTCAGGCCATCAATATAATCAAGGTAAATCTCTCGACATCATGGCACTGATGGTAATGTTATTCTAAAACAACTCTCAAATATCTGGAAACGAAAAGGAGGATGCTGGAGAATTACAAGTTATTTATAGTATACTCTTTCTCAGGCATAAGATGCTCTGTCCTTATAATTGATCTTTGCCTGATGCTTGATGGTTTGTGTTTGTAGCGCTGGCATAGTTAGTTATAGATTTTTCTCTTTCACTTATCAGTGTTTGTGTATGCCTTTACATTTGCTATTAATAAAGATAGTTCTACCTTCAATCTATTTTATTTGATGCAGATGCAAAACCCAAGCTGCCTGGTCATGGTAGATAACTGCTATGGTGAATTTGTTGACGACATCGAACCTCCTATGGTGGTATATAAAACTATTCTTATCCTTAAAGTTCTATTGCATGTTAGAAATGTCAGAAGTTGATTTTTGACTGAGCAGGGTGCTGACCTAATTGCGGGCAGTTTAATAAAAAATCCTGGTGGGACAATTGCACCATGCGGTGGATATGTTGCAGGAAGAAAAAGATGGGTGGAAGCAGCAGCTGCCCGTCTCTCGGCTCCAGGACTTGGAGTTGATTGTGGCTCGACCCCTGGTGATATAATGAGAACCTTCTTTCAGGGTTTATACCTCTCACCTCAAATGGTTGGTGAAGCAATAAAGGTATCTCATTTCTGCTCCAGTTCCAATATGGTCATAATCTTTTCTTCTACCTCGCCTTGATATATGTATCTTGCAAACTCCTGTTGCAAGGGAAGCTTTCTGATAGCTGAAGTCATGGCAGCTAGAGGATATAAAGTGCAGCCACTTTCTCGGGTCAAGCGTCATGACACAGTGCAGGTTTGTCTGTCACATCTTGCATTAGTCAAGGCATATACACGTCCTTGTGTTCCTAACTGCCGATGAATACCCTCTGTTTGCACATGAGGATATACAATTTACTCCCACCATTCAATCTCACTTCCTTTCACTGAGCAATTAGAACAATCTTCATGTTTCATCTATGAAGTATATCCCATTGTCAAGTACATATTGGTGCTCTCAGAAGTGTGCCCATATTTTAAGGCACCGCTGAATTTCATTCGTAAACGTGAAAGTGGACTAAGTTTTATTATGCTTTTCAGGCAGTACAACTTGGAAGCCGTGAGCGTCTACTTTCCTTTTGCGAGGCTGTTCAGAGAAGTTCTCCTGTCAGTTCTTTTATCAGGCCTGTTGCAGGTGCTACTGCTGGCTATGCATCTGAGGTATGATCAGTTCTTTGGGAATGACAGTATGCCGTACTTGAAGGAAACTCTTCGACTTAGTATTAACACTGTACTGGAAATAAAATTATTGAACATGGTAATTACTAATGTTATGACACAGGAACCAATATGTAACCATCATGGCTGAAAGCTCACATAGAATTAGTTGTGGTAGGAATCTAATATGAGCACATACGTACTTTTTGTAGCAGGAAACAATTTTGTCTTCTTGTATCTGCTTGGGTTCGTGGGGATCGTGGAAGATCAGAGAGATGTGACAATGAATCTTAAGCAAGCTCATCTCTATCCTAACTTTTGAGCTTGGGTAGTCTGTTTAATTTTGGGTCTCGGTTGATGTCTTCAATTATGTGGCACAAACTGTTGCTTATATGATCTTTCCTTATTGTGGTTTGGTGTGACTACTTGATTGTCTTGGTCTATCTACCTTATTTACCAGCTTGCTTTCTCTTTTTTTCTTCTTCCCTGTGCTTCATTTGGATGCTTATAGTCTAGTTGATATATGAAGCACATGTAATGGGTTGTTTAGCAGAGTTTATAATCTTGAGCAACTCATCTTCAGCCTATTTTTGAAATGTTATTCATGGAGTAGGTAATTTTTGCTGATGGAACCTTCATCGATGGAAGTACTAGCGAGCTCTCATGTGATGGGCCGCTAAGAGAGCCTTTCTCTGTTTTTTGTCAGGTAATACTCTGTCATTTCTTCCACCACTGATTAGTTTGCTATAGGAGTAATTAGTTATATGTTTGCTTATGTAGCTTATCATGTGGGAAAGAGGGAATTCGTCCTTTCAATGAATTCTGGGGAAGACTTAATTTTATGTCACTTGAATTTCTAATTGCAGGGTGGCACTCATTGGACGCAGTGGGGACTAGTTTTGGGGGAGGTTTTGAAATCTCTATGAAACTTGGAAAGATTGTGCATTGGCGAAATACCCTTAGGAAAACTTCTTTGTTTTCACCAAGTTCCTCAAAGTCTTATCGACATGATGAATTGTGGCCTAAAGAGAATACATCAATTTTCTCTCATTTAGAGGTAATGATAACAATTTCCGATTTGCACAGCGGAAAAGCCTTGGTCTGCCAATGATGATAATTACTGGTTTGGTCTTCTATGAACTACGAATATGTGAAAGTCTGGAAAGATAACTATGATCATATGTACCCCTTGACTATGATATTTTCATGGCTTCACTGAGTATGATTATTCTATTTGAAACATTGCCTTTAATGATTGTCAGATTATGGACACAATCACTTATTCCTGTCTCACCCCATCAGTCCAGAGAATGATAACATGTGGTCCACATTGTCTTATCGTATACAAGATGCAAAGGAGGTGAAGTTGGTTGCTCCGCCATGGAAATTAGAACAAGAAATCTGGCTTAAGCACTTGTTAGTCTCAGTATTGATGTTTTGGTCAATACAAGTTGTTTCTCAGAAAAGGAATGAAAAAAATTGCATGGAATTTCAAAGGCACAGCCATGTGTTTCAAAGAGGAAAATGAGAGGGTAGGTTTCCCCTCTTTCGATGTGCACCAGAAGATATGGTTAGAAAATTCTGTAGATTCCTGAAAGTAATAAATTATATTCCTCCTGACAAAACATGCATGATTTACTAGGTGCTCAAATACTTGCAATTATGGGTAATCCTAATAGGATAATGAGAAATGATTAGCAGAGCTAGGAGCACTGGTGTTGTTTATCATACTGTTATAATTTAATTACTCTGTACCATGTTTATCTCATTATGCTTTCACGTGGCTGCTACTTTAAAGGTTTCACCTACTTCCTTCTGTGTAATAATTTCTTTTGGTCCTATATCCAAAGGTTGGGCTTGTAGCATGAAGCAAAGCAAATAGACTATGAAAACGGAGCCGTGGTCAAGTTTTGCCCTGACCATCATAACATCCACTTAATCACACATTGATGTAAAGTTCTTCAATATGCTCAAATGTTGTCACTTGGATGGAGGAATTCATAAACTTGTTCACAGGAAAGATGATCAATTTTGTTGTCTAGCTTGCTGTTCATGTTTTGTATATTCTTTGGTGTAAATCACGCATTGTGGTGTTTTTGCTCTAGCTTCCTGCATCAATGACTGCCTATTTTCCCCCTAGTAAATATAGATGAACATTATGATGGAAAAAGATGTCTCCTTTTATGGGTCTTAGGCGATTCTCATCTCATGAGTTAGGTTCAAGATTCTTTTTTTTTTTTTTAAAGTATTAGTCTTTCTTATTTGGAGCTATTGTGGAAGCTTCTTATTTTGTATTGTAGTCCAGTCCAAAATTGTTGAGCTGATGCCTAGAGGTACCCTACTTAGTCAGACATGTATTCCTATGAATTGACTTTGTTGATTAGGTATTATGATAATCGGGAGGTCAATTTTAGAGTTGTCTCCGAAGCTGTTCTGGAATGTGAAATCAACGTGACAAGTGTTTTAAAGTTTCTTCTTTGTCACTAGGTTCAGTTTGGCACTACCACGTATTTATTAAATTTTGGTATGTCATTGTCTCGGAGGTGTATCCTTCTGCCATTATGGGCACTAACGACTATTGATTGGTAGGCATTTACTGCTGCACTGGACTCTGAATTTAGCGATGTTAAAGGCGTGGAAGATACTCCAATAACCCAATCAATCCTTTTTGTTTTTCCAACCCATAACCCAATCCTTCACTACAGGATGATCATGTCCATTTCTCTTACTAGTAGTTAATATCTCCTTCCTCATCCATCCCCCCCCCCCCCCCCCCCCCCAACATACACACAAATTTCTTTGGGTCTCCATATGAAATATTGGATTTTAGTAAAGTTCACCACAAAGAGCAAAAGCCAAAATCCTTTGGAATTGCAGTAAATGAACAATACAATCTTACACCACACGAGCCAACCTCCCCTCAGAAAAAAGTCAAAACGCTTTACGTGTGGCAGAAACCGTGGGGGTCAGCAATTGTGGACCCTCCGACTAGGTCGGATCGGACCGTACATGACCACGTCGTTTGTTGAGAATTTCTATGCCGCGTGTTAAACGTTCTTCTAGATATTGGACCCATTAGTTCCATAAAAAACCAAATTCGATTAAACTGTGAAGGTACTTCTCGGGTCCACAATAAGTGATATTTTAATTTTTTTTTTATGGTCCAAAATAAGTGATTTTTTCATATTTCAAGAATGATTTAATTATTCTTTTCCTATATTGCCCTCGGAGTAAATGATGTTGGAGTATGTGTTAGGAGTGCTTATATGAAGAGATAATAAAGGTTAATATGGTCAATATCATTGCTAATTAATGTTAAAAGGTGAGTTTCTTAATATGTGTGAAAACAATCAACAAATCACTTACTTTTACCAATCACTGAAACACGTATATATTATTTTGACATATAAAATTAATGTTCATATCCACATTGAATATTCAATACGTTGATTTTACTGGTCTGAACTATATCATAGTTTCATGGGAATAGTTTTGTCATCTTTTCTAAACTTTGAAAATTAAGAAGCAAAAGTGTCGCAGGTAGCCCACAAATTGAGAAAACTTGAGTATCAGTTTGAAGTTAACTTTTTACAACTTTGCCATAGGAAAATGACACTAGGAAGAGTTTAAACTTAACTGTATTGAGTGTTCACACCAAATAAATAAATGCAACATATATTCTTTACTGATTCTTTTATTTAATCATGATTAAGTGACATTATGTAATTTTAGTTTGATTTTTACCTATTAGGGTCAAATTGCATAGTTTAATGTAAATAAGTAATAAATATTTACTGCTTATCAAGCCGCGTAGGAGAAGAGTGAATTAATTCTCTCTCCTTTTAAGCATCATAATATGAGAAACTCAACGTGGCGACGTTAACAGGCTTGTACGATCTACAGGTGGTCTGTTTTGGTTGGTGTCCAATTTAATTCACTCCCCAAGAATTCCAACTCTCTCTCTCTTCATTGCTACAAACTCGGTAAGTACTTGTCCCTCTCTTTCTTCTCTCTTCTTTAGCTCCCACCTCTACATTCATTGGTTATGGGTTACCTTTTTTTTAAATGTTGAAATCATTATGTATTTTGTTCGATAATCATAAAAGGTCACTTATGTGGAGAATATTACGTACTTGTTTAGATCACAATATTATTGAAAGAACAGATATTTACCTAAATGCTGTTTCAGTTCTTCAGTGCAGCAGCTGCTTCTTAATGTTTGAAGCTTCAAATTTCAGAAGCAAATACATGATTGTTCTTGAGCCTAAGACCCAAAGTTAATAATCCGTACTAGTAATATTACGATGCTTTGGATTCCCCCTCTTTCTTTCTCTTTTTTGTAGTTAGGACTAAGTTGTGATATCAACAAGTAATCTTTCTTTTTGTCTTTCCACTTACCTTTAACTCTGATGCTTAAGCTAAGTAACAGATTTATTATAGAACTGGGGCCTTTTTGAAGGCTTAGGTGAGATTGGCATGAATGAATTAATACAGCTCTTCCAGTTATAACATTAAGTTGAGGACAGAAAGCAAAACTGGGTAGTTCCTGCAATTAATTCTCAGTTTAATTTCCATCACAAGTTCATCTGGGAATAAGGAGTGACAGTATAATTGTGTTAAAACCTGACTGGTATGAGAAGTCAGATTGGTTGTTTGGGTTTGTTAATTGTTGCAAGTGTGAAACGTCCCATTATTTCTCTTTGACATAGGGACCCCAAAGTCCACACCATGTATTTAAGGAAGAGACATCTTATGGCCTCTTTTGCTAAGCGGTAGAAAATGGTAGAAGGGAAAAGGAGTTTGGAGGGCCTTTCTTCTGAAGGATGTAAAAGACCTACAAGATATTTTGAAGATAAATATAGCTTACTGTAAAAGGTTCTAATAGTCACATTTCTTATTGACTACAGAAATTTCAGACTCGGACATTCTTCATCGTCAAACGATCCAGCATAAGCTCCTGACATTTACTTGTCTTTTGTTTGGTAGATGTGAAAGGGAGCCTTGGTGTAACCAGTAAAGTTGCCTCCATGTGACCAGGAGGTAACAGGTTCGAGCCGTGGAAATAGCCTCTTGCAGAAATGCTGGGTAAGGCTGCGTACAATAGACCCTTGTGGTCCGGCCCTTTCCCAAACCTCGCGCGTAGAGGGAGCTTAACGCACCGGGCTGCCCTTTTTGTTTGCGAGATGTATTGTTTAATGAGATGGGATCTGAAGATAACGGGGAAAACCTTTATAGACCACAATAGGACTATAGGAGTCTGTATATTCCGTTTGTTTGGTGTTTGCATATTGATCTGATTTAGTATGACATGAATATTAAGAACTCTTTTGTCCACCTCAATTTCTGTTACACTATTTTACTTTAAACCTGAAATCATCTGTGTACTTCAGAGGATTTTTTTACTTGAGGATTCCCATGAAAAAGTCATAATGCTCCAAATCATATTTCATACAAAGCACTTCCATTTTATGTGAACCAAAAATAAGAAGTCACAGAGGATATCCTTTTTATTCTCAGACAGTCACAGTCCTGATAAGTCTTAACAACACCGTGCAGGTCTTGATTTTGATATTCTCATTGGCTAGCTACGAAGATGGAATTAGATCTTGGGCAAGTCACACTGATAGGATCCACTGATTGGCTAGCTAAAAAGATGGAATTAGATCGTGGGAAAGTCACACTGATAGGATGCACTGTATGTCTCATGCTGACTATGCATTTCAGTATACAGCTAGTGACAGAGCATTTTATGTCATGGAAGAAGCCTAAAGAGCAAAAGGCCATAATCGTCATCGTCCTCATGGCACCCTTGTATGCTATTGACTCCTTCATTGGGTTGATTGATTTCATGGGAAGCAAACCCTTTTTCACTTTCTTGGATTCTGTCAAAGAATGTTATGAAGCAATTGTAAGTCAATATATAGCTAACTTACCCATTGAGCTGTGTTCTTATCAGTTGCATAAACCAGAGATTCTTTGCTTACTTCTATTCTAAGTGATACAGGTGATGGCTAAGTTCCTGGCATTGATGTACACTTACTTGAACATATCCATAAGCAAAAACATAGTCCCTGATGAAATTAAGGGAAGACAGATTCACCACTCATTCCCAATGACACTCTTCCAGGTAAAATATGTGAACTTAGTGTAGTGAAAATTAACACTGCATTCTCATGAGAGAAAATTTGTGATATTGCTGGTTAAAATAACGAACTTTTTATTCTGCAAGCTGTATTAGTTGAGTATACTGTTAAGCACAAAGTTCACTATTTCAACTATTTGCGCCTACAGCTAGGTGAGATTTAGTTGCTTAGTAATATTACAAAGCCAAATTATTGTTACTGTATACTAAGCTCACAGACTCAGGGGATAGGCATATAAGTGTGCTGCCTCATTTTTTGCCCCCTTTCAAAAGTACCACGCCTCTCTGTATATGTTTACCCAGTCACAAGCTAACTGTTTTATCACTGCAGCCTCACACTGCTCATTTGAACCATCATACGTTGAAGCTTCTCAAGAACTGGACATGGCAGTTTGTTGTGATTCGCCCTGTATGCTCCATCTTAATGATTTTTCTACAACTTCTCGGAGTGTACCCTAGTTGGGTTAGCTGGACCTTTACCATGATCTTAAACATATCCGTTTCACTGGCTTTGTATTCTCTTGTGATTTTCTACCATGTCTTTGCAAAAGAGTTGGCACCTCACAAGCCACTAGCCAAGTTCCTGTGTGTCAAAGGAATTGTCTTTTTTGTTTTCTGGCAGGTACTCCTCTCATCTTTTATTACAGCCTTATCTTTCGCTTTCTTGTAAATTACATATTGGAGTTCAGTTTTGCTGTTACTTTCTTATTGAAAGGATATTGTTCATGCCTGTGGGACCCTGAATTGTTGATTAGGCATGTTCTATATTTTCAATATCCTAATGGTATTGAAATCAAACCATTAGTAAGTTTCAAAAAAAAAAAAAAATCAAACCATTAGCACGTAATTACTTTATGGAGTCAGCTTTTACATTAAATTTTCTTATGCTTAGTCTTGAAAATATTAAACTTCATACCACTTTGCAGGGTATTCTGCTTGACATTCTAGTAGCACTAGGCATAATCCGATCTCAACATTTCTGGCTTGACGTGGAGCATATTCAGGAAGGTATTCAGAATGTACTAGTGATTGTGGAGATGGTTTTCTTTGCTATCTTTATGCGTCATGCATACAGTGCTGCACCATATCGCCAAGAAGCTGTTACAAGTTCAGGAGATAAAAAGAAAGAGTGATAATGCAACATGTATTGTCGTGAAAATCATCTTCAGATATCTGTCTCTTCTTCCTATTCCTTGTATGTCATCTTGGACTTGCTTGTTGATGTACACTAGATTCTTCTATTAAATAAATATCCTCAATGGAGTCATAAGCATGCAGAAATTGATGGAGTAAGTAGAACTAGTGTTTTATCATCAGGCAGTATAGTTGTACCTTGCACCTATTTCAAGATATGTAGAGATGGAAAAAGATCTTATTAGAACTAGACAGATCAACTAGAATATATTGTGAGACAGACTTAGAACTGAATCCTTCCATGCTGTGGCAACTGCTACTTCATTTGAAACAAAACAGAGAAGCATATGAGCTGGTAATTCTTTTCTTGTCAAGACGACTATAAAAGCCAACATAAACCTGATATTCCCAATTTCTCATGCAATATAAAATCTTGTGATAAACAAGTTAAAGAGGTAAATATATCTCACCATTGCGATGCTCTTTATGTGTGCATTATGTCAAGAATGGTAACCTTTTATTTCATACTATTCTTAAATACAATGAATACAAGATGTTGTTTATATAACATATAAAAAGTATCTATACTTGGAAGGTAATAACTACTGTACATAAGTTTAGTCTATGATCTTGGAATCTATAATTGGAGACAAATAAGAAGGAATCCCTGCCATCTCTCCCTAAAATCGCTGCACAAATCTTCTGTTACAGCTCATGCCAACATCCCCCCTCAAGTTGGTGCATAGATGTCTCAATGCCCAACTTGTCTAATGCGCTGTAGAAAACCTTGCTTGATACTGCCTTTGTAGAATGTCAGCCAACTGATCTTCTCACTTTACAAATGGGAATTGAATTATTTTATCTTCGAGCTTTTCCTTGATAAAATGTCAGTCCACTTGGACATGTTTTGTCCTGTCATGTTGAATTGGATTCTCTGCAGTCTCTATGGCCGCTTTGTTATAGCAAACAGATTCATTGTTGAACCAGATGAATAACCAATCTCTTTCAGTAACTCTTTCAACCAAAGAAGCTCACAAAGTCCTCTAGCCATGCCTCTAAATTCAGCCTCTGCACTAGACAATGCGACTACTTTTTGCTTCTTACTTCTCCAAGTGACTAAGTTTCCACCAACAAAAGTGAAATATCCTGATGGTGATTTTCTGTCAGTGATACTTCCAGCCCAATCGGCATCCGTATAACCATTAATATTTAAATGGTTATATTTCCTAAACATGAGTCCTTTCCCTAGAGAAGACTTTAAGTACCGTAGAATTCGAAGTACAACATCCATATGTTCCTCACTAGGGTTATGCATGAATTGACTAACCAAGCTCACCGCACAGGCAATATCCGGCCGTGTATGAGATAGGTAAATCAATTTTCCCACCAGCCGTTGGTACCTTTCTCTATTTGTAAGTATCTGGTTTGAGTGCACTCCGAGTCCACGGTTTTGAACTATTGGAGTGCTTGCAGGCTTACATTCAAGCATTCCCGTTCAGCTAAGCAAATCAAGTACATATTTCCTTTGTGAGAGAAAGACGCCCTGACTTGATCGAGCTACCTCGATTCCCGATAAATATTTTAGTCCTCCAAGATTCTTCATCTCGAATTATGTTGCCAAATGCTTCTGCAAATTTGAGATCTCCTCCTTGTTATTCGATGTAATTATCATGTCATCAACATAAATAATTAAAGTAGTTACCATCCCTTTCCGATGCTTCAAAAATAGAGTATGATCTGAATTGCTCTGTTTGAATCCATGCTTCCTCATAGCCAAGCTAAATCGTTCAAACCACGCCCTCGGTGATTGTTTCAGTCCATATAGTTCCTTCTGCATTTGCATACAACTCCACCTTGTGAGGTAGTAAAGCTCGGTGGAATAGTCATGTATACTTCTTCTGCATGGTTCCCATGATGAAACACATTCTTTACATCAAACTGATGTAGTGGCCAATCCAAGTTTGCGGCAAGAGACAACAATACTCTTATCGTATTCAACTTTGCTACTGGTGAAAATATCTCATGATAGTCTATACCATATGACTGCGTAAATCCCTTAGCTACAAGTCTTTCCTTATAGCGATCTATTGACCCATCTGCCTTGTATTTAATGGAGAATACCCATTTACATTGTACTGTTTTCTTTCCTCCAGGCGGCGGCATAAGCTTCCATGTATCATTCTTCTGTAGAGTTGCCATTTGTTCAGATATTGCTTTGATCCATTCTGGTCATTCTGTGCCTCTGTACTGTACTTAGGAATATAATCTGAAGATAACTTATGCACAAATTCTTTGGTACAGGCATGGTTAGCAATCAGATACTTTGCCTTGTTTTTTTCAAGAACTGGTGAGTACTGATTTGGTTGCTTACTACGATTATGTCTGAAAGATAATATGTAACCAACAGAAGCATCAATAGCATTATTGAGAGAGCAGTCGAGATTGTACCTCAGGAGTATTCTGAGGAGAGTGGTCGTTTGGTACTAAAGTATGAGAGATGGTTTGTCCTTGTTGGATGAGATCCTCCTGCATACTCGTCTGATCATCATTATTATTTTCTTCTGAACTTGTCATTTCCATTGGTGGTTGATTAACCAGGTCACCTTGAATTTCTTCAGAGATTGGTTGAGTCTCAACTAGAACAGGTTGTAGCAATCGAACTTCATCTGATTTAGTTGCACCATCAGTGTCATTTTTTTCCCATGTTTGTATCTTCAAAGCATGGCCAGTTTTCCCAACCATTCACATCCTGCTCTTCACCAAGAAGTTTCTCCTTAAGAGAAGAATGTGAATCTAAATTTCTAAAGAAAGTTTCAGATTCAATAAATATAACATCCATTGTAACATAGAGGAGCTTGGTAGTAGGATCATAGCATCTATAGCCTTTCTTATGAGTCGCATATCCTAGAAACACACAACGGACAGCACAGGGATCAAGCTTGGTCCGCCGATTTTTATGAAGAGGCAACACTACCAAATATGCGAGGTGGAAGCATTAAGGCAGATGGAAAGGTACACGATGAGCAAGAGTTGCTCGAGATGGCATTCAATTCAACAAATAAATAGCATCAACAACTGCATTTGTCCAATAACGTCGTACATGTGTTGCTGTTAAGGGGGCTCGAGCTGTTTCAAGGATATGTCTATTTTTCCGCTCCGCAACACCATTTTGCTGTGGTGTTTGAGAGCAAGTAGTTTCATGATACATGCCATGTTCTTTAAAATATTCCCGTAGCTCATTATTGTCATATTCCCCACCATTATCAGACCGAAGAATTTGAAGTTTAGCAGAGAATTGAGTCTTGACTATGTTATGGAAAGAGTGAAAAATTGCAAATACCTCATTCTTATTTTTCATCAAATAAAGCCAAGTCATACGTGTACAATCATCTATGAAGGTTACAAACCATCTATAACCTGATGAAATCGATATAGGAGCTGGTCCCAAAACATCCGAATGGATCAACATAAAGGGTATCTCACAATTTTTTGAACTTATTGGATAAGAAACACGTTGACTTTTGGCCATGATACAAGGTTCACACCTAAAACCATTCACATATGTTGGAAAACAAACTTGTAAACAAATGCCTTAAGTAAGAAAATGATGGATGTCCCAGTCGACGATGCCACAACCAAATCTGTCGTTCTTTTTCACCGGTCCCTCGTCCAATATCTGCCCGGCCAAGGCTGAAATCATCCATGTTGTAAAGCCCATCTGTTTTAGTACCACGACCAATAATCTCCTTGGCGAGAATATCCTGAAACAAACAAAACTTAGGGTAAATTAGTGCACAACAGTTTATTTCCTCAGTAGCTTGGCCAACAGATAACAATTAGTTGAAAGAGATGGAACTGAAAGAGTGTTTGGTAGTGAAAAAGAGGGTGAGAGTGCGACTTTTCCAGCCCCTATAACTGGATATGTCACTCCATTAGCATTAGCAATGCACGTTCTTTTTGGTTGACTGGATTCAACACAGTCTCTTAAATCAAACGTCATGCGATCAGTCACCCCTGAATCAATAATCCAATCAAGGTTACCTGAATCAGTAAGAGCCATAGATATGTTTGCTGCAGCAGGAGAAGAGCCTGTTTGTACAATAATTTGAGAATCAATGTTTGTCGTAGCATTAGGAGAGTCTCCAGTGTTCACTAATGCAGCTCGACCAGCTTCACGTTTTCTTTTTGCCTTGAGTTCATGCCACCATTGTGGATATCCATCCAACTTAAAACATATATCTTTAGTGTGCTTCATATTTCCGATGTGTTTGCAGCTGATAAGTAGGGATTTTGACGGCTTATTAGCACATTTTTGCTCTTGTCTTAGTCTGAAAGTATCGAATTGTGTTCCCAAAACTAATAAAATTGTGCAAATTGCAGGAATGCTGTGAGTTTGGTCTCCCATGATGAATTTCGACTGAAAAAGGAGTGTTCCGAAGCACAAGGCAATAAAGGGCGCATAAGCATAGATGTGCGGTCCGCAGAAGGAATTCTGCGGCCGCAATCCAAGCCAAATAACCCAACAGGAAATTGTCAAATGTTCGGACCGCACATGAATTGTGCAGCCGCAAATCTGGGTCAACACTGACAAGTATTTTCAAGTCCAGAGAATGTGCAGAAGATCAAGCCCTGATGCCTTGCAGAAGTGCCGGATCGCACAAGAATTGTGCGGCCGCAGAAGTTGCATCGCAGCCGCAATCCAGAAATGTGCGGCTGCAAAACTCACCTTCCTGCTAGCTGAAGAAATTTGCGGAGACCGCACATGGAATTGTGCGGCCGCAAAATCTCCTTAGGAGCATTGTTGTCAGTAATTTGTAGCCTAGTATAAATAGACAAGTTTCACAAAATTAGGTTAAGTTTGAACATTAAAAGCTGCCGTAGCCGTTTCTTTTTACTATTTTAGGAAGTTTTAGCTTATTTGAGTGTTTTGACATTAGATTTCATCAATTTAATCTGTCATTATGAGTTTAATTAGCTTTTCTTCTTTATTTTCTTCAATTTTCATATGAGTAGCTAGATTTTTACTAGGGTTGTGACCCAACCAACCCTAGTGTGTAAATCTTATGGATATTTAATTTAGTGCTTATTTATGATTGAATTTTGATTATTTAGCTTAGTTCATGCTTTAATTTAGAATTAATGGTTGCAAACATTGATTCATGCCTATTTTACTTAGTCTCTACTTGAGAAAGAGGGACCTAGTCTAGGATAACTTAGCTAACGAGGAATTGGGTTAGTTGAGAGATTGATTAGCCTAATTAAAGGGTTCAAACTAGAGATAGTAAGAACCGATTTGAGCTCATATCAACTATTTTGTTTGATACCCATTTGTACTTGAGAAAGCCAAATTGGGCAAAATCACTCTCTGACTGAGAGGTATTGAGTGGGTAATGCAGAGTTGCAAGCTATAATACACCCCAATCAACAAAATAAGCAATAACGTCTTTATCCCAAACACCTAGGTTATGGTCACATCCCTAGGCCTTAAACTATTTCGAAAAACCTCAAAAACATTCATTTCTAGTCCATTTTCTTTAGCTTGAATTCATTAGAGTAACAGTAGAAGTAGAAAACAAAACTCTGTTGTGGAAGTGCAATCTTAGGTAGTCCATTTGGTTGCTTCAAATATATAATCCTGACACCCTTCATAACTCCCAGTGATTTCGACCCCTACTCATAGTTGGGTAATTATTATTGCATAAGACCGTATCATATCTCTCAGTGGATGTTATCAATTTTTGGCGTCGTTGCAGGGGAGCTAAAATGGGGTTAGCTATATATTTGGGTTTGTTTTTGGAATATCTTCTTTTCCTTCCATTGTTACTAACTTGTGTGAAACAATTTTAGGTACAGTTATGGCGACAAACAATGAACTCGGAAATATGCCTTTGGGGGATGTGGACGTCGACGATGAGCAAGTTGAGGAGGTTCCTCTTGAACCTCAAGCCAATAGAAGAGGCCGAGTGCCTCATGACAATGTCCCCGCTCCACCCCCACCTCCACCACGAGCGGCTCCACACCGGGTGTTACCCAATGAGGGATATACTAGTGAAATGGTCTCTTCCCGTATTAGGGCGGGCAACTTTCAAATCACCAATGTGATGGTCACTTTGCTTGAGCAACGGGGTTTCTTCACTGGTGCTCAAAGTCAAAATGTGTATAAACATTTGAAGGGGTTTGTGGATACTTGTTGGGGGAGAAAACAAACAAATGTCTCCGAGGATGCATTGAGGCTAAAGCTTTTTCCCTTCTCTCTACGGGGGAAAGCTTTAGATTGGTTGGAACGAGTACCGAACCATTCCATTCGTAATTGGGATGAGTAGGCGGAAAAATTTATTGCTAAGGTCTTCTCTCCCGGGCATATGGCTACACTTCGAGATGAGATTTTGGCATTCAAGCAAGAGCCGTGTGATTCAACAAACCTTCTATCGTGGGATTAACACAACCATCCAATGTGTAGTGAATCAACTTGCCGGTGGAAACTTTATG